TCAATGGGAAGTTTGCTTTGAGATAATAGCATCTTGAGTTAAGAGCTTAGTCAAAGAATGAATTATTTATATATTTTTAGGTATTTGATTGTATTTTATTATGTGTTTATATTGTGTCGACATCGAGTTGTTGCCTGTTGGTAGCCATCCTGAGTCCCTCCTCAGAGGTCGAGAATGGACGGGGTATAAATGTCCTAAATAAATAAATAAAACTCTTCAGGTAAGCTATCATCGTATAGGAAAAACGTCTGCCTGAGGCTGGATCTACACTGCCATATAAAATCTAAATTATTTTCTTTGAACTGGATTATATGGCAGTACAGACTCATATAATCCAGTTCAAATCAGACAATGTGGATAATCTGCTTTGATAATCTGGATTATATGGCAGTGTAGAGCCATCCTGAGAGATTCTGAAGACTCTGCCATTCATTTCAGGTGAAGCCAGGCTGGATGGACTTAGGATCCAATAGCACAGAAGGCTCTCTCTAATGCTGTGTGTCCACCTGGCTGTTTGTTCTCTTTGCTTGTCTCACCCAAAAGAGGCCAAGTGTGAAATGCTTCTGTATTCCTATTATTTGTTTAGTGAGACATCCTGGCCCTGCAAATGCAACATCTCCCTGCAGGGAAGAAGGGGAGCAGGTGATGGCCAGTTTGGAAATGCCACGTCCTTTTGTGTGTCTCCCCTCCTCACCGTGAGCGTTGACAAGAGTTATAGCTGAAGGTTCTGTATACCTTCAGGTGGTCTGGCAGGAGGACTACACAAAGGTGCTCTGCTTCTGGGCCTGACAACATCAGTGCCCAAAAGGCACTGACACCTTGGTAGTCTCTGGCTCTAAATATACAGCCACGGAGCACGTCTACTCCCAGCTGCATGCTTCAGTGGAGACTCCAGCTGGGAACTGAAAAACTCCCACTGACAGACAGCTCACCGCCTTTACAAACAGAGCTGGGAAAATGCTGACTTTGGAGGCTGGCTCATTCATCGACAAAGGGTGGTCCAGCCACAAACACAATTTCCCCACAATGGCTTGTTCAAGGTCAGGCTTAAGGGATAAAGAGCAAAACTGTGATTGAAAAAAGAGCAAATAAGGACGGCTTGGCTATCAGTCACCGGATTGGAACTGGACTAATTCCGGGTTAGCATGTTACCCACGATCTGCTTCAAGCATTAAACACACAGGGTTGTTGTAGGTTTTCCAGGCTATATGGCCATGTACTAGAGGCATTTTCTCCTGACGTTTTGCCTGCATCTATGGCAGGCATCCTCAGGGAACCACATCAAGGGAACCACTGACCGCATAGGGAAGCTGATGAGGAAACACAACAAACAAACCACCTACAGACCCACCAAGAAAATCCAACAAATGCTACGTTCGGCAAAGGACAAGAGGGATCCTCTCACTTCTGCAGGAGTCTCCCGTATACCATGCAGCTGTGGACAAGTCTACAGAGGGACCCCCAAACGCAGCATTGCCCAAACACGAATCAAGGAACATGAAAGGCACTGCAGACTACTTCAACCAGAGAAGTCAGCCATAGCAGAGCAACCTGGACACAGCATAGTATTTGAGAACACAGAAATGCTGGACCACTCTCACAACCACCATGTCAGACTACACAGAGAAGCCATTGAAATACACAAGCATCTGGACAATTTCAACAGAAAGGAAGAAACCATGGAAATGAACAAAATCTGGCTACCAGTATTAAAAAACTCAAAAATTACAACAGCAAAACAACAGAGAGTAAACAATCAGGGACCTCAAATCACCTCTCAAAGAAAGATTCCCCCAGGCACTTCCAAGCCATTAAATGCTAATCAAGGTGGTCAGTTGAAACATTCACACCTAGCTCCAGAAGACAAGAGTCCTTTGTTCCACCCTGCAGTCATTCCACAGATATATAAACCCTTTTTCCTACTTCCAACAGACCTCACTACCTCTGAGGATGCTTGCCATAGATGCAGGCAAAACGTCAAGCGAAAATGCCTCTAGAACATGTCCATATAGCCCGGAAAATCTACAACAACCCAGTGATTCCAGGCATGAAAGCCTTCAACAATACATTAAACACACATGTGTTGTGTCTGCCAATTAATAACAGTCCATATTTTTGGCAACCTGAAGCACTGGTCAAGGTAGACTGTCATCAGTTATTGTCACTGAACATGCCGACCTACTGCCAGCAGTTATGGCAGTCAAACTGGGAAGCGTTAAGGATGACTGCGAGTCTGCGACCAAAAGCAAACGTGATCTCCAATCATGGGTTGGAGAGATTGAAGTGTGTTGCCTTGAGTGCCAGCGAAACAGCTGCATGAGTCATAATTCTTTAAAATACGAACAAGGAGTATCTTTGTGCCCCGCTATATTTCATATACACTTGCTAATTAGCAGCTGGCACTTCCAGCTCTGGAAAAAGACATTTTACTACTGTTTCTGTTTAATCAGCAATGCATTTCTCAGAGGCAGAAATGTGCTATTTAATGACCATAATCAGGAGCTCCGTGCAGTGCCCTCACACTTTGTCCATAGCCACCCTGTGTGGGAGGTTAGCCTGAAAGAGAACAAATGGCCCAGGATCACCCAATGAGCTTGGCAGCTGAGCAGGAATTCAAACCAGGCTCATCCTCCTCAAGCCAGATTCCTAGCCAGTACATCATGTTGGCTCCATGGGATGCACTGTACAATATTTAGTGGGCAGCAGAACAAGCCAGCTGCCCTGGGCTCTTATCAGACTATGGAATTAACTAATCTATATATCTATATAAATAAAAATGTAATGTTCGTTTGTGGGATTCACAGAACTCAAAAACCACTGGACGAATTGACACCAAATTTGGACACAAGACACCTAACAACCCAATGTATGTCCTTTACTCAAAAAAATTGATTTTGTCATTTGGGAGTTGTAGTTCAACCCCCCCCCCCCCCTGAAATTTTTCAGGTTAAAACAAAAACCTGGTTTACTCATGAATTTTAACTGGTTAACCAAATCCCCATGCTAAGTCTATGAGATGCAAAAAATTAAGAGTCCCTCCAGAACGGCAAGCACTATCTCAAGCAAATATTGACAATTTATTCACATGTCATTACTTGCAGCAATAGCCGATGTAGTGAAGCAACCAAGTTGGGTGTGTGTGTTGAATGCTCTCATTAAGAGGCCAGACTTGGTGGAGGTGGTTGACAGGGGCGGAGCTGCAGGCTATTGAAGGCTGCTCTGCCCCCTGCTGTGCTCTTTGCTTCAGCGTGAGCTCGGAGGCAGGTTTCAACCCCTCCCCCCCCCCCAAAATTTTCAACCCTCCCCGAAATTTTCACCCCCCCCCCCCCCGAAATTTTCAACCCTCCCTGAATTTTTTTTCTGGCTATGGCCCTGTCTGGGAAGTCTGACTTGGCCACGGTGGTCCACGCTCTGGTTACATCCCGTATAGACTACTGCAATGCTCTCTACGTGGGGTTGCCTCTGAAGACTGCCCGGAAGCTGCAATTAGTCCAACGAGCGGCAGCCAGATTTCTAACAGGAGCGGGGTACAGGGAGCATACTACTCCTCTGTTGCGCTAGCTCCACTGGCTGCCAATTAGCTTCTCAGCACAATTCAAAGTGCTGGTGTTGACCTATAAATCCCTAAACGACTCCGGCCCAGTTTACCTGTCCGAACAGATCCTCCCCTATGAACCATCAAGGTTGTTAAGCTCTTCTGGAGGGGCCCTGCTCTCGGTCCCACCACCCTCGCAATTGCGTCTGGTGGGGACGAGGGACAGGGCCTTCTCGGTGGTGGCCCCTCAGCTTTGGAACTCTCTCACACTGGAGATTAGAACTGCCCCTTCTCTCCTGACTTTTAGAAAGCTAGTGAAAACTTGGCTCTAGAATCTTGCATTTGATGAGTTAGTCAATAACTCTTGACCACACGGACGGATGCCGATGATTTGTGATTTCATTTGGACGACTTGGTCTTATGTAATTATATGATTGCTTTTTAATTGATTTTATGTATTAGTGTATTATGGGGTGTGATGTTTTAAACTATCGTCTATGAATTTTTGTTGTAAACCGGCCTGAGTCCCTCTCCGGAGGCCGAGAAGACCGGTATATAAAAGTTCTAAATAAATAAATAAATAACTAAATAAATAAAACAACTATGTTCAAAGTAAGTGCCACATAATGAAATAGGAAATGACACTTTCAAACTTTGTTACATAGTGTAATTATTTGGAGTAATTGTCCTCGTGGACAACAAGTTAAACATGAGTCAACAATGTGATGTGGCGGCAAAAAAAGCCAATGGGATTTTGGCCTGCTTCAATAGGAGCATAGTGTCTAGGTCCAGGGAAGTCATGCTCCCCATGCTCTATTCCGCTTTGGTTAGACCACACCTGGAATATTGTGTCCAATTCTGGGCACCACAATTCAAGAGAGAGATTGACAAGCTGGAATGTGTCCAGAGGAGGGCGACTAAAATGATCAAGGGTCTGGAGAACAAGCCCTATGAGGAGCGGCTTAAGGAGCTGGGCATGTTTAGCCTGAAGAAGAGAAGGCTGAGAGGAGATATGATAGCCATGTATAAATATGTGAGAGGAAGCCACAGGGAGGAGGAGGGAGCAAGCTTGTTTTCTGCTTCCCTGGAGACTAGGACACAAAACAATGGCTTCAAACTACAGGAGAGGAGATTCCAACATGAGGAAGAACTTCCTGACTGTGAGAGCCGTTCAGCAGTGGAACTTTCTGCCCCGGAGTGTGGTGGAGGCTCCTTCTTTGGAAGCTTTTAAACAGAGGCTGGATGGCCATCTGTCAGGGGTGATTTGAATGCAATATTCCTGCTTCTTGGCAGAATGGGGTTGGACTGGATGGCCCATGAGGTCTCTTCCAACTCTTTGATTCTATGATTCTATGATTCTAATGGCAAAGATGACTTCTGTTGATCTGATGTCACAATTTGGGGTGGTTGGTCTCCATTCTATTCCCAGGTTTGATGCTTTTAAGCACAGGCAGAGGTGGCTTACCGGAGGATGTAGCCATGGAGGACTCCATTATGTTCACTCTCAGGAGGCGGTTGCCACTGCACCATAATCGACTGGTTGGTCCGCCCACTGGCCACAATATTTTTTGGAGGAGCACTTGGTGGTTCTTCAGGTAACATCAACCTAAGCGCAGGAGAGCAAGAAGGAAAAATGGTAAATACACCTCTCCTGATGTCTTTTCTTTAAAGGCATCAAGCTTTGTTTACAGACACGTAACCGGAAAGCGACATGGCTCTGGTGCTGCAGACATGCTTGAAATAGTTGTAACAAATCAACATAATAGAAAATCAGTTAAGCAAGCAACAAGGAAGACAGATGTTGTGGCAAGCTTATTCTATCTGAATCACCCAGCTTGCCATGATCTGTTAAAAAGACGGCAAGCCTGAGTGAGTCCATTTCACTTCCTGCCCTAGAATCTGTAATGCTGTTGAAATTATTTCTTCCAACAGTTCCTGTCCACCTCCCCAGATAGATGATGTTACTCCCCAAACTACTTAGAACTCAGGAGTAAGGATTTAGTTTAAAATCCCCAGGAAGCTTCTGACTCAGGATAGAAGCAGTGAGACACATATTAAATCACGTAAGGTGGAGCCATCCTTTGATGTGCTATATAGATGGAATCAGAAGGGACAGATGAATACGTAGGAGAGATGTTAGAGCTATTTCACAATTGACCCAAAAGTGAGCGGGAATGTCTTTTTGATCCCTACCCATTTCTCAGTCATCTTGATCTATGAAATCTTAACTGGCTGAAAGTCTAACCTAATTCCAGGTTATTCACAAAGAGGATTTGGAAGAACACAAAATCTGCCAAAAGGTTTTGAAAAGTAAGAGAGATGTAGTGGGAAAACAGAACCAACAGACGGATCTGGGCATCATTTTATATGCACCACAATCCATGTTTACACAAGACATGCACCCATGTAAAAAGCAGTTGGTGAGTGTGGCACAGCCGGCTGAGTGTCAGCTGCATTAAGATCACTCTGACCAAAAGATCATGAGTTCGAAGCCAGCCCGGGTTGGAGTGGGTTTCCAACCAATTGTGTAGACCGTTGTCGACCTTTGCAACCCGAAAGACAGTTGCATCTGTCAAGTAGGAAAATTAGGTACCACCTTGTGTGGGGAGGCTAAATTAACTAATTTATGAGGCCATAAAAAAGACTCCAGCAAAGTACTCCAGCAAAAGCATGCGGGGAATGCAGAAGTGCTTCATCAGCGTCGCAGATGGACGATGAAAGCGACAGCTCCCCTGGCGGCCAGAAAAAGTTAAATAGCCTCTGTGTATGTCTGTATACGTTGTATGTCAAAATTGGCATTGAAAGTTTGCCATATATGTGTACATTGTAATCCGCCCTGGGTCCCCTGCGGGGTGAGTAGGGTGGAATATAAATACTGTAAATAAGGTGTATTTATTATGGTTTTCTGTAACCAAGTCAATTTCCTGAACGATTAACACACAAATATTGGAGTCTTAGGCTATGAGAGCTGCTGGTTTCTCTTCACCTTTCTTTTCAAAGTTTCCAGTCAAATTCCATGTTTTGGAGCTCTGTAGCCTCTGTGTATGTCTGTATACATTGTATGTCAAAATTGGCATTGAATATTTGCCATATATGTGTACACTGTAATCCGCCCTGAGTCCCCTGCGGGGTGAGAAAGGCGGAATATAAATACTGTAAATAAACCAATAAATAAAATGTAAAGCACAAAGCTGATTGGTTGGGCCACGCCCAGGAGGCTAGCTGAGCCTGGGAGCTTTGGGAACAGTTACATTTTTCAAGCTTTAGCTGTGCAGCAGTTTGCAGAGACAGATTTCCTTCTGAGCTGCTGGAAGAAGGTCTTTCACTTGGACACCTAAAGACCATTTGAATTCTCTCTCAAAGGACATTGTGTGAGTCAATGAAACTGTTCACATGATTGTACATATGTTGACTGCATAACAAAGAGTAAACTTCTTGTTTTTTATTGATCATCTGCATGTGATATGTTTTCTTACAAGACAGTGTGTTGACTGTTGGGTTTCATCCCTGATGGCACAAGTCTCTAGACCAGTGGTTCTCAACCTGGGGTCCACAGATGTGTTTGGCCTTCAACTCCCAGAAATCCTAACAGCTGATGCACTGGCTGATTGTACATATGTTGACTGCATAACAAAGAGTAAACTTCTTGTTTTTTAAATTCCCTGTGCATGCCTACCTCAAGAAGGGGCTCAAAAGGGGGGGGGGGGGTCTCTTGCTCATTCTGCATGCCACTATCTCCCCCCCCCTTTGAATACTTAGCAATTGATCTCATCAGGAAAGAGGTAATTTCCTCTTTAAAGGTATTTTCATTGCCCTAGGCTCCATTTTCTCCATTTTCTGGGTCTCTCTTTCCCTTTGTTATCTTAGAGTGAGGATGCATCTTGCCATTCTCCAGGCAAAATGTAGTAGACATGGGTATTTTGTTATTTCTCCTTTTCCTTAGAAGATAGCTCAGTGAAGATAGTTAGCTCCAAGAACCTTTCCTATCCAGAATGGATTTCTTTTGACTTTAATAAACATATTATTTTTAGAACCTATGAAGCTGTGGATTTGCAATCCTGCTCCATCCTGTTGAATGGAAACCAATCCTTGCTCTTGACATGTAAGCTTCTGCTGGTTATGAACTTGGGGTGATTCCACTTTGTGGAATCACCCCAAGTGAGGGTTATTTTTGAGCCTAACAGTTCTTGATTCCCAACATGGATTGGTCAAACGTAAACTACGCATGATTTTCATTTCGTCACACCTTTCAATTTCCTATTATAATTTCTTTCTCAACTCAGTCTTCCACTCCCAAGTCTGTCTCACAGGCAAACAGTGAAACAAAATAATCTTTTTTGGTTAAATAGTCTGCTAATTGAATATGGACTCTCCAGTCAAGACTTTTGGTGGTTTTGGTAGGGAAATGATTCTGATTCTATCTACTGCTGTGATCCTTCCTTTTGCATTTCTAATTTGGCCAAACTGGCCAGGGATTTGCCAGGAACTAGTATGTGGTTTCATTGAACTGTACCTGCTGGTTTCTCGGCTGTATTGGCCTTTTCCCACCTGGTTGACGGCACACACCCTAAACTGGTAGGTTCGGGCTGGTGTTAATCCACTCACAGTGATGCTGGTCATCTTTGGATCAATGTCAGAGAGGTGCACTTTCCAAGGAGAATCTGGTAGAGAGAAACAGAATTTCAGACAGAATAACAATAATAATAATAATAATCACATCCTCAGCTGCTGCAAGAATATCGCAAAGATAGACTACAAGCAGAAGCACAACACCATTGCTCAGATGATTCATTGGAACTTGTGCCACAAGTACCATCTGCCTGTGACAAAGAACTGGCGGGATCACAAGCCAGAAAAGGTTACAGAAAACAAACACATCAAACTCCTCTGGGACTTCCGAATTCAGACAGAGTTTTGGAGCACAAGACTCCTGACCTCACGATCATGTTAAAAAACAAAGTATGGATTGTCGATGTCACAATCCCAGGTGACAGCAGGATTGAAGAGAAACAACTGGAAAAGCTGCCACAATGTGAGGATTTAAAGATCGAATTGCAAAGACTCTGGCACAAACCACTCAAGGTAGTCCCAGTGGTGATCGGCATACTGGGTGCAGTGCCTCAAGACCTTGGCCTGCACTGAAACACAATAGGCACTGACAAGATTACCATCTGCCAGCTGCAGAAGGCCACCTTACTGGGATCTGCATGCAATTATTTGCCGATACATCACACAGTCCTAGACGCTTGGGAAGCGTGATCTTGTCTGCTGTGGACTCATCTTCTTGTGTTTCAAATAATAATAATAATAATAATAATAATAATAATAATAATAACAACCTTCACTTACTTAGGCGATCCCTCGTTGGATGAGTAAGATGGTATTCCATTATGCATTTCCTTGTGGGTTCGTAGGTGGCTGTGGAGCCCTATTCTTGACCCGCATCTTCTCCCACAGTGAGGGCATTGGTTTCCAGGTGGAAGGCGGTCCCGGTCGGGGTTGGCTTGACGCGTCTTCCTCCTGGCACGTTTCTTTCTTTCACCCTCCATTCGTGCCTCCTCAAATTCTACAGCACTGCTGGTCACAGCTGACCTCCAGCTGGAGTGCTCAAGGGCCAGGGCTTCCCAGTTCTCAGTGTCTATGCCAGAGTTTTTAAGGTTGGCTTTGAGCCCACCTTTAAATCTCTTTTCCTGTCCACCAACATTCCGTTTTCCGTTCTTAAGTTCAGAGAAGAGCAACTGCTTTGGGAGCCGGTGGTCGAGCATCCGGACAACGTGGCCAGCCCAGCGGAGTTGATGGCACAGGACCATCGCTTCAATGCTGGTGGTCTTTGCTTCTTCCAGCACGCTGACATTTGTTCGCTTGTCTTCCCAAGAGATTTGCAGAATTTTCCGGAGGCAGCGCTGATGGAATTGTTCCAGGGGTTGCATGTGATATCTGTAGACAGTCCACGTTTCGCAGGCATATAGCAGGGTTGGGAGGACAATAGCTTTGTAGACAAACACCTTGGTATCCCTATGGATGTCTCGGTCCTCAAACACTCTCTGCTTCATTTGGGAAAATGCTGCACTTGCAGAGCTCAGGCGGTGTTGTATTTTGGTGTCGATGTTGACTTTGGTGGAGAGGTGGCTGCCAAGGGAGCGGAAATGGTCAACATTTTCTAATGTTACACCATTAAGCTGTATCTCTGGCATTGGGGAGGGGATGGCTGGTGACTGCTGGAAGAGCACTTTGGTTTTCTCAATGTTCAGTGACAGGCCAAGCTTTGTGTATGCTTCTGCAAAGGTGTTTAGAGTGGCTTGTAGATCTTCTTCTGAATGCGCACAGACGACATTGTCATCAGCATACTGGAGTTCTATAACAGATGTTGTTGTCACCTTGGTTTTGGCTTTTAGTGTGCTGAGGTTAAACAGCTTGCCATCTGTCCGATAGATGACTTCCACTCCGGTGGGAAGCTTCCCATCAACAAGGTGAAGCATCATAGCAATAAAGATGGAGAATAAAGTTGAGGCAATAACACATCCCTGTTTGACACCCGATTCCACCTTAAATGGGTCACTTTGGGTGCCACTGCTGTCCAAAACCACCATCCATCCGTCCGTGTGGTCAAGGGTTATTGACTCACTTATCAAATGCCAGGCTCCAGAGCCAGGTTTTCACCAATTTTCTAAAGCATGATGATGATGATGATGATGATGATGATGATGGTTATTATTGCTGTCCTATTGCTATTGCTTTTGGACAGCAATAATAACCATCATCATCATCATCATCATCATCATCATCATCATCATCATCATCATCATGTTACAAGCCAGTCAAGGTGGTCCCAGTGGTGATAAGCACACTGGGTGTATTTATTTATTTACAGCATTTTTATCCCGCCCTTCTCAACCCCCCCCCCCTCGAGGGGTGGGGTGACTCAGAGCGGTTAACATAGGCAGCAATTTGATGCCACAACCAATAAAACAGTATAAAATCATAAATACATAAAAAGTTAAAACAATAACAATTAATTATTACCAAATTATCATAACAGTCATTAATTGAAAACAATACTCAGTCCACAAACCCACTGATAGAACAATAAAACCGTATCCTCATATATGTCGTCTTGGCAATCCATTTCCAATCAAAGTGCTGCTTTATGTTTATTGTCCAAAAGCCTGGTCCCAAAACCAATACTTTAATTTCTTCCTGAATGCCAGGAGGGATGGGGTTGATCATATTTCATTTGGAAGCACGTTCCCCAGGCGGGGGGCTACAACCGAGAAGGCCCTGTCTCTTGTCCCCGCCAGCTGTGTAATGCCTAAAGACCTTGGTCTGCACTTAAAAATCATCGATGCTGACAAAATTAGCATCTGTCAGCTGCAAAAGGCCACGCTACTTGGATCTGCAAGCATTGTTCGCTGATACATCACACAGTCCTAGACACTTGGGAAGTGTCTGATGTGTGATCAAATACAAAAGCCAGCAGAGTGATCTCATTTGCTGTGCACTAATCTTGTTATGTATCAAATAATTATAATAATACTTTATTTATACCCAGATACATTCTTCCCCGAAGGGACTCGGGGAAGCTCACAATCGTGAAAACACACAAAATACAACAAACGCATAAGCAATAGCACAATAGCAATAACAAATGGCATTACATCTTATTTATTTATTTATTTATTTAGAACTTTTATATACCAGTCTTCTCACCTCCGACAAGGGACTCAGGCCGGTTTACAACAGAGGAGTTCATACACAATAGTTAAAACATCACATCCTATAAAACTATATAAAACACATTAAAATACAATCATATAATTACATAAGGCCAAGTTGTCAGAATAAAATCATAATTCATCACCATCCATCCATGTGGTCAAGGGTTATTGACTCACTCATCAAATGCCAGTTTCCAAAGCCAACTTTCTAAAGGTCAGGAGGGAAGGGGCAGTTCTAATCTCCAGTGGGAGAGTTCCAGAGCCGAGGGGCCACCACCGAGAAGGCTCTGTCCCTCGTCCCCACCAGAGGCGATTGCGAGGGTGGTGGGACCGAGAGCAGGGCCCCTCCAGAAGATCTTAACAACCTAGATGGTTCATAGGGGAGAATCCGTTCGGACAGGTAAACTGGGCCGGAGTCGTTTAGGGCTTTATAGGTCAACACCAGCACTTTGAATTGTGCTCGGAAGCTAATTGGCAGCCAGTGGAGCTGGCGCAACAGAGGAGGGGTATGCTCCCTGTACCCCACTCCTGTTAGTAATCTGGCTGCCGCTCGTTGGACTAATTGCAGCATCCGGGCAGTCTTCAGAGGCAACCCTACATAGAGAGCGTTGCAGTAGTCTATACGGGATGTAACCAGAGCGTGGACCACCATGGCCAAGTCAGACTTCCCAAGGTATGGGCGCAGCTGGCGCACAAGTAAAACCCCACTAGTTAAAAATTCAATAAAATGCAACAATAGCTGCAGATATAAAACACAAATCCCCTTGCTATGTGACTATTTGCCTCTGCAAGTCATCAGGTCCAGAAGAGGCCAACAACAGAGAAGTCCATTTCATTTCTCTGAGGCTATACAGAACTGCGCTTCCTCTTTTCCCTTTAATGTTATGTCACCACAAGCTTAAAAGTATTCAAAGTAAACAGTGTTTCCCTAGTCCTGATTTCCAAATTAGGGCTATCTACAGATCAGTGGTTTCCTACAGCTCAATCCATAAACCCATTAAGCCAGGGCACTTGGCAAACTGATTTAGTCTCATTGGCTCTGGTTTAATTACTAAGAAGACAGAGCTGTTCCACCCCAACACGAAATGCATTTACCAAGCAAGCCCAGTCCCAATCAACACCCCTTGCTCAGGAATAAATGTTCTTAGGCTGGGGCTGTTAGTCAGTTAATAGTCTTGCTTTCAACCAATTAATCAACTGCTTAGCTGATTAAAATAAATATGGAAGTAGCTCAATAAAAAAGATACTTTGAGGTTATTTAACGGAGGCAACAGATTGCCTTGTCTTAATAACACAGGCATAATTTATTCTTTGGGAAATATGTCTTCTCTTCTTCAGTAGGACAACGACGTTTACAACAATACCAACATCAGCAATGAGCACCTTTTCATAAAAGAGCAGATTAAAGCCAATTAAAACCCACCTTTTAATCCACCTTGTAATTATTTGTATACCTCTATCGCATTCTCCCTTAGCTATCCTTTTGTAAGTTGAAGAACCTAATCTTCTTAAGGCTGTTTTCTCACATTTCCTCTTTAATGCCATGAGTGCACCTCTTCAAGCCGTACCCCTCTCTGAACATATTTGAAAATGCACTATCATAACCCATGTGTTTTCCTTTGTGTTTACACCACTGTGACGGAAAAGCTAATTATAATGGAGTTTTATTGTCTATGTTTATTAGTGTTGATATTATGGCAAGGGCAGTCAGGAGTTGGTTACATCTCATTGGTCGATGTGTGCAGTAGAAATTTATCCATTTTAGAGTGGCTAGCAAGAAAAGAGGCGGAGCTAGATAAAATATATAAAAAGATAAAAGATAAATAATTTAAAAAAATTGTCGTGTCAGGAGCGACTTGAGAAACTGCAAGTCGTTTCTGGTGTGAGAGAATTGGCTGTCTGCAAGGATGTTGCCCAGGGGATGCCCAGATGTTTTGATGTTTTAC